TAAAACATTTTCCTGAATCGTGTCTTGAGACACTTTCAGATTTATTTGACAAAATGTGGGCGTCAGGGAATGTTCCTCCTTCGTTGCATGCTGCCATTGTAGTCCCCATACCAAACAATGGCTGAGATCATGCAGATTCCTCAAATTATCGCCCTTATTTTGTAACACGTGGTGTTTGTAAAGCTAGAGAACGAATTGTAAATGTTATATTAGAATGATATTTGAAACTCAGCAATCTTATAACTTATATTCAATGTCGTTTCAGGAAAATAGAAGTACTATAAACAATTTAGTACGATTTGAATCACTTGTACAAAATGCTATAGTAAACAATCAACGGCATTTCACAGGATTTACATGATTTTGGTTTAGGAGTTCGTTTACCTCATATCACTGTTTTAACATACAACTTCAAGTCCGAGTAGGTTCAACCTAGTCTAACCAGTACAATCAGGATCAGGGTGTCCTACAAGGCAGTATTTTGCCTGTCACTCTATTTAGTATAAAAATTAATAGTCTTTCAAAGGCTTCACGTGATTCGATAGCTGGATCACTTTTCGTGGATGATTTTAAGGATTTATGTCGCCGTTAAAAGTGCAGTTAAAATTTGTTTCAATAAATTTCATAAATGGTTTCTTGAAAACGGGGTTAAATTTTCTAAATAAAAAACAACTTTATACATTTCTACACAGGAAATATAAGCCGCATAAGGACTCCCGTCTTGCGATCTACTTTCAGTTTTTATATCGATTCGTTGATTGATAATCAATTCCTTTAAATGTTCTCAACTAGTCTTAAATGGAATCCGTAATAATCTAGTTACTTAATTTACTGTCCATCAATTTATTTTTAATGTAGTGACAGTACTTTGTAATTCATCTCAAGCATTGAGTTTCTATTTATCAATCCAATCAATTAGAATCATCACCGACTGAATGTATTCCATCACATATTCTGCAGACATAATGGGCACTGTTACGTGTTACGTTTCAGATATCGCAAAAAACATAAAGTTTCTACAAAATGTCCCCAGGTTTAACAGTGATGTTTGGGATGCGGTGATGCCCCTGAGACAGACTCCTCTGTACCCCGACCCCGGGCCTGGCAGTATTTCATTGTTACATCCCACTGGTCAAGCACCGAAAAAACCCCTAAAAAAAACTGATATAACTCTAAGATAATGTTATCGCCCATGTGTAACAAGGCTTTAACAGCCCGAACACGGCATTCGCTCTTGGCTACTCCACCGCCGTGACGAGCAACAAGGCGACTATACTCCTTGGGTTCGATCGTCGACCGAGACTGGAATTAATGTTAACAGTGGAAAGTCACTACTTTGGTGTTAAACTTCCATGTCTGCTACTTATTCTCGCCTCTGTCCCAGAGGTCAGAGGTCACGGCTATCTGATGCCCCCCCCCCCCCCCCCCCCCCCCCCCCGGACGGTCCAGCTTGTGGAGGGCGGGGTTCTCCGCCCCGATCAATAAGAAGGATAACGAACTAAACTGTGGCGGTTTGGGGGTATGTTACGATTATAGCCTGATTTGTTTTCAGTTTCATGAATGATTTAATCGTTCAATATAATTTCTACTCTTTAACATTAGTTATATTAATTCATGTTTTTCTGTTTGATTTTTTATGCATGTATTTGTAAGGAGAAGAAAAAACAAGTCAATATATAAGATACTGAGTTAAAAGTTAACGTCGCCTCGGCATTATTTCAGCCATGTAGCGACGATGTCAGTATATTAGTGGGTTCTAATACTTCATATATTAGTTTAAAAGTTTTTGGTTCATACGTTTTAGTTGAGCTGACGAGTTCTTTGTTTGAAACTTCAAAAATATTTTTACAATCATTTTAGATGCAAACTTTGTATATTTCGATGTTTGTGGGTGAGAAGAACATTAATTTATTTGACTTATATGGTATATTAGGCGTTGTAAAGAGGGTGGACGATTTCAAACAGTCGGTGCTTCATTCAACAAGGACCAATAAAGAGACATGTTGCACATATATTCCTAGCAGAAAACTACACATAACTAAAGGAAGCATACACTTTTAGATTGATTTTTTCCCAAAATATTATTAAAGTGAGCAAACTGTTATAAGTCTTAAAACAGTTGCCGAGGAACTGCAAATATAATCTCCAAAACGCAACGCGTCGGCCGTAAAGATGCACGTGCAGTGGCCAAAAGTCACCCAAAAGCTTTTCCAAGTATTCGTAAAATTGCACGTGCTGAGTTTGTATAAAAAGGCGATGAACCGTTGCTAGGACATCACATGTAATAAAATACCCACAAAAGACAGGCCACGGTTAACTGCCGAACATTGAGAGAGCCATAGGTATGGGGCAGATGGGAGCCGACCACACCCAGATTACAAGAAACCGAAACTGTACTGTCAGACTGTTTCAACGCTTCAGACAGAGTGGCAGGACGCAAGACAGGCCAAGATCGTGCAGACCACGAGTGACAACGCAACATGAACATCGGCACTTGCGCACATACCGTCTGAGCCACAGGTTCGTCACGGCGACGGTAACGTCAGCAACGACGTCGAGGCGAAGCACGTATTAGAGCTCGCCGTTCCTTCCGTGGAATAGCATTGACCCAGGAACATCGACGTCGAAGACTGCAATTATTTCCCAGGAATCTGTGGCAACCAACGGACGAGACTTGTCAGCATCCTTGGCAACCTCAATGGCCATCAATACAGAGATGATGCTCTTCAACGCATGGTGCTTCCATTCCGTCGCCAACAGCAACAGGGAACACTCCCGCAACATTGCAACGCTAGACCACACACTGCAAGGCTCGTCCAGGACTTCTTGAAAACGAACATGGTCAACGTTCTTCCGTGACCAGCACTCGCACCTGACTTGAGCCCAGTTGAACACGTGTGGCATCACCTAAAGCGTCAGATCCGTGACCAGCACTCGCACCTGACTTGAGCCCAGTTGAACACGTGTGGCATCACCTAAAGCGTCAGATCCGTGACCAGCACTCGCACCTGACTTGAGCCCAGTTGAACACGTGTGGGATCATCTGGAGCGTCAGATCCGTGACCAGCACTCGCACCTGACTTCAGCCCAGTTGAACACGTGCGGCATCACCTAAAGCGTCAGATCCGTGACCAGCACTCGCACCTGACTTGAGCCCAGTTGAACACGTGTGGGATCATCTGGAGCGTCAGATCCGTGACCAGCACTCGCACCTGACTTGACCCCAGTTGAACACGTGTGGGATCATCTGGAGCGTCAGATCCGTGACCAGCACTCGCACCTGACTTCAGCCCAGTTGAACACGTGTGGGATCATCTGAAGCGTCAGATCCGTGACCAGCACTCGCACCTGACTTCAGCCCAGTTGAACACGTGTGGGATCATCTGGAGCGTCAGATCCGTGACCAGCACTCGCACCTGACTTCAGCCCAGTTGAACACGTGTGGGATCATCTGGAGCGTCAGATCCGTGACCAGCACTCGCACCTGACTTGAGCCCAGTTGAACACGTGTGGGATCATCTGGAGCGTCAGATCCGTGACCAGCACTCGCACCTGACTTGAGCCCAGTTGAACACGTATGGGATCATCTGGAGCGTCAGATCCGTGACCAGCACTCGCACCTGACTTGAGCCCAGTTGAACACGTGTGGGATCATCTGGAGCGTCAGATCCGTGACCAGCACTCGCACCTGACTTGAGCCCAGTTGAACACGTGTGGGATCATCTGGAGCGTCAGATCCGTGACCAGCACTCGCACCTGACTTCAGCCCAGTTGAACACGTGTGGGATCATCTGGAGCGTCAGATCCGTGACCAGCACTCGCACCTGACTTGAGCCCAGTTGAACACGTGTGGGATCATCTGGAGCGTCAGATCCGTGACCATCACTCGCACCTGACTTGAGCCCAGTTGAACACGTGTGGGATCATCTGGAGCGTCAGATCCGTGACCAGCACTCGCACCTGACTTCAGCCCAGTTGAACACGTGTGGGATCATCTAAAGCGTCAGATCCGTGACCAGCACTCGCACCTGACTTGAGCCCAGTTGAACACGTGTGGGATCATCTGGAGCGTCAGATCCGTGACCAGCACTCGCACCTGACTTGAGCCCAGTTGAACACGTGTGGGATCATCTGGAGCGTCAGATCCGTGACCATCACTCGCACCTGACTTGAGCCCAGTTGAACACGTGTGGGATCACCTGAAGCGTCAGATCCGTGACCAGCACTCGCACCTGACTTGACCCCAGTTCAACACGTGTGGGATCATCTGGAGCGTCAGATCCGTGACCATCACTCGCACCTGACTTCAGCCCAGTTGAACACGTGTGGGATCACCTGAAGCGTCAGATCCGTGACCAGCACTCGCACCTGACTTGAGCCCAGTTGAACACGTGTGAGATCACCTGAAGCGTCAGATCCGTAACCAGCACTCGCACCTGACTTGAGCCCAGTTGAACACGTGTGGGATCATCTGGAGCGTCAGATCCGTGACCAGCACTCGCACCTGACTTCAACCCAGTTCAACACGTGCGGCATCACCTGAAGCGTCAGATCCGTGACCAGCAAACCCGAAACAACTTGCCGACGCTTTAAGAATTGAATGGAATCGGATTCCCGATTACGTCATCAGGCGGCTGACAACATCAATGAGTCGGCGAGTCTGGACGTGCATTGATGCTCACAGTGGTCATACTTGTTACTGAGCGTACCAGGTATCCGTTTAAGAACATTATTTTTGTAAACATTCAGAAGGTTTTCTCTTTGACAGACTCACATCAATCCTCCTGACAAGTTAGAATTATAACTTTAAAAGCCCTCATTTCTGAGGTGTCAATATTTTTGTATCTACATTTAGAAGAAAATATGCGCCGTCTACCTGCTCGGTTACGTAAACAAATACTCGTTTTGAAATTTGAAAAAGAATTCCTCTGACGATAAATCTCGTTTTATTCCATTGTTCCACGAAATCAAGTTGAAATGTAGTGATTTTTCTGCCTAAAATGTCTTGTGAGTTTGAACCCAAACCGGTATGTGATTTAGTACCAAGAATTTTTTTATATTAGTTCCAAAGATACACATTACTTTTAGTATCAAACAGTAACTTAATTATCACTTTCTTATAAAAACAGTAAAATGTACAAAGGTTTAACACATTTAACTGGCCTCTTTTTTAGTGACAAGATGTCATTTTCCCATCAAAACCAAACAATCAATTTGAGTTGTGCCAATGTGGACTGACTTCACTCAAGGACCACGTACAGTTAGCCATATTATGAACTTTATGAAAAGTTTATCATGTTTTGCTTATTGTTTGCAATAAACATGAAAAATAAATATAATCATAGAAATATAATTTTAATTTCTTGGGTACAAAATCACCAACTATTTTTGGTACAAGTTTGTATTAGATACAAAATCACATAGGCCCTACATCTATCCAGTCGTGTACCGTTCTGAAGACTGGGGAGAGGGGTTAAAAGTTTTAAAAACATCTTTAGTATTCTAAATTGTCCTTCGTGCAATGATAGACTAATAACAGGATGCTGTTATTTTTGTGTGATATCGCTCCACGTTGCCGTCGTTTTCAGAAAAAAATTGGAAAATCATCGAACGTCGAATCTATTACGATTTCGGATTTAGAAACACACACACTTGCACACACACACACGCACCCACTCGCACACACACACTCGCATACACACGCACATACTCGCACACACACGCAGACACACAGGCACACACGCACACGCTCGAACACACACAAACTTGCACACACACACACACGCTAACACTCACACACACTCACACACACATACACACACTCGCACTATCACACACGTGCGCGCACAGACACACACTCACACACATATACACACATTCGCACTAACACACACATGCGCGCACAGAAACACACTCGCACACGCACACACACACACACACACTCTCGCACACACACATACATGCATATATGATCTCCACATCATGTTGAACATACACAGACACACTTTCGCACACACAAACACAAAGGCAAACACTCGCACCCCCCAACCCCCCCCACCCCGCGCACACTCGCACTCACTCGCACAAACACATAAACACGCGCGCACACTCGCACACACACACACACACACACACACACACACACACACACACACACACACACACACACACACACACACACACACACACACACACACACACACACACACACACACACACACACACACACACACACACACACACACACACACACACACAAGGTGTGTACTTAATGTATGTTATACAGGCTCTATCTTGTACGTAACGTCCGTCTCTATCTTATACAGGCTCTATCTAGTACGTAACGGCCGGCTCTATCTTATACAGGCTCTATCCAGCACGTAACGGCCGGCTCTATCTTATACAGGCTCTATCCAGCACGTAACGGCCGGCTCTATGTTATACAGGCTCTATCTAGTACGTAACGGCCGGCTCTATGTTATACAGGTTCTATCCAACACGTAACGGCCGGCTCTATCTTAAACAGGCTCTATCTAGTACGAAACGGCCGTCTCTATCTTATACAGGCTCTATCTAGTACGTAACCGCCGGCTCTATCTTATACAGGTTCTATCCAGCACGTAACGGCCGGCTCTATCTTATACAGGCTCTATCTAGTACGTAACGGCCGGCTCTATCTTATACAGGTTCTATCTAGTACGTAACGTCCGACTCTATCTTATACAGGCTCTATCTAGTACGTAACGGCCGTCTCTATCTTATACAGGCTCTATCTAGTACGAAACGGCCGGCTCTATCTTATACAGGCTCTATCTAGTACGTAACGGCCGGCTCTATCTTATACAGGCTCTATCTAGTACGTAACCGCCGGCTCTATCTTATACAGGTTCTATCCAGCACGTAACGGCCGGCTCTATCTTATACAGGCTCTATCTAGTACGTAACGGCAGACTCTATCTTATACAGGCTCTATCTAGTACGTAACGGCAGACTCTATCTTATACAGGCTCTATCTAGTACGTAATACCAGGCTCTATGTTATACAGGTTATATCCAGTACGTAACGACAGGCTCTATCTTATACAGGCTCCATCTAGTACGTAACCGTAGGCTCTATCTTATACAGGCTCTATCTAGTACGTAACCGCAGGCTCTATCTTATACAGGTTATATCCAGCACGTAACAGCCGGCTCTATCTTATACAGGCTCTATCTAGTACGTAATAGCAGGCTCTATCTTATACAGGCTCTATCTAGTACGTAACGACAGGCTCTATCTTATACAGGCTCTATCTAGTACGTAATAGCAGGCTCTATCTTATACAGGTTATATCCAGTACGTAACCGCCGACTCTATCTTATACAGGCTCTATCTTATACAGGCTCTATCTTATACAGGCTCTATCTAGTACGTAATAGCAGGCTCTATCTTATACAGGCTCTATCTAGTACGTAACGACAGGCTCTATCTTATACAGGCTCTATCTAGTACGTAATAGCAGGCTCTATCTTATACAGGTTATATCCAGTACGTAACGGCAGGCTCTGTCGTATACAGGATGTATCTTCCCCGGCTGAATCCTCCGTTATTCATCACTGTGTGTCGCTGCAGAGACCTGAAGCCGTCGAGGTTTTACTCGTGTTTCAGAATCTATGGAGCAACAATGGCGGGCGATGTGGGACGTGTGGCGACCCCTATCAGGGGCCCCTGGCAAACGATGACGGCGGCCGGTACGACAATGGAGTCATCGGCCGAGTTTACAGACAAGGTAACGTCATCGACATCGACGTGGTGATAACGGCCAATCACCTTGGCTATTTTGTACTGCGGCTATGTGAAGACAGCAGCTTGTCTAAGGAGCCTCTACAGACCTGTCTTAACAAGCATGTGCTGACGCTCGGGACGCCATCTGGCGCTGCATTGCGGTACTACATCGGTGATGAAAGTAAGACGTACCGGTTCAAAGCCACCTTACCGCCAGATGTCACGTGTCGCCGGTGTGTGCTGCAGTGGGACTACAGAACAGGTACGTGTAACCATGGTTACTTTTAGCGGAAAAGTCAATAATGGTAAATATTGTGTCCAGCTTGAGAAAACAACATGTATTAACATATGTGAATCTAATAAACTTAAGATAAGTTAATAAACATGGGTACGGACTATATAAGTTAGCACACATGACAATACACCATCTTAGTACTCATGACACTACACCATCTTAGTACACATGACAATACACCAGGTAAGTGAGTACACATGACAATACACCAGGTAAGTGAGTACACATGACAATACACCAGGTAATTGAGTACACATGACAATACACCAGGTAAGTTAGTACACATGACAATACACCAGGTAATTGAGTACACATGACAATACACCAGGTACGTTAGTACACATGACAATACACCAGGTAAGTTAGTACACATTGCAATACACCACGTACCATGGCGGCTGTAAACTTAACAGGGGTAACGGCAATAACAAACTTTTCAAACAATTCGAATTCTACCAAGACCACGCGAGACTAAGGTTATACTTTCTAAAGACTTAAATCTAAACTTCTTCACTTAAATCTAAACTTCTTCACTTAAATCTAAACTTTTTCACTTAAATCTAAACTTCACTTAAATCTAAACTTCACTTAAATTTAAACTTCACTCAAATGACGGGAAAACACATAAGTTAAAACACATGCGAATACACCACGTTTGTTAGTACACATGACAATACACCACAGAAGTTAATACACATGACAATACACCACAGAAGTTAATACACATGACAGTACACCACAGAAGTTAATACACATGACAATACACAACGTAAGTTAATACATATGACAATACACCACGTATGTAAGTACAAATGAGAATACACAACATAAGTTAATACACATGACAATACACAACATAAGTTAATACACATGACAATACACCACGTAAGTTAATACATATGACAATACACCACGTAAGCTAATACACATGACAATACCCCAAGTAGTTAATACACATGACAATACACCACAGAAGTTAATACACATGACAGTACACCACGTAAGTTAATACATATGACAATACACAACGTAAGTTAATACATATGACAATACACCACGTATGTAAGTACAAATGAGAATACACCACGTATGTAAGTACACATGACAATACACAACATAAGTTAATACACATGACAATACACCACGTAAGTTAATACATATGACAATACACCACGTAAGCTAATACACATGACAATACCCCAAGAAGTTAATACACATGACAATACACCACAGAAGTTAATACACATGACAGTACACCACGTAAGTTAATACATATGACAATACACAACGTAAGTTAATACATATGACAATACACCACGTATGTAAGTACAAATGAGAATACACCACGTATGTAAGTACACATGACAATACACAACATAAGTTAATACACATGACAATACACCACGTAAGTTAATACATATGACAATACACAACGTAAGCTAATACACATGACAATACCCCAAGTAGTTAATACACATGACAATACACCACAGAAGTTAATACACATGACAGTACACCACGTAAGTTAATACACATGACAATACACAACGTAAGTTAATACATATGACAATACACCACGTATGTAAGTACAAATGAGAATACACCACGTATGTAAGTACACATGACAATACACAACATAAGTTAATACACATGACAATACACCACGTAAGTTAATACATATGACAATACACCACGTAAGTTAATGCATATGACAATACACCACGTATGTTAGTACACATGACAATACACCACGTAAGTTAATGCATATGACAATACACCATGTAAGTTAATGCATATGACAATACACCACGTAAATTAATACATATGGCAATACACCACATAAGTTAATACACACGACAATACACCACGTAAGTTTATTCATATGACAATACACCACGTAAGGTAATACACATGACAATACACCATGTAGGTTAATACACATGAGAATACACCACGTAAGTTAATACATATGACAATACACCACGTAAGTTAATACATATGACAATACACTACGTAAGTTAATACATATGACAATACACTACGTAAGTTAATACATATGACAATACACTACGTAAGTTAATACATTTGACAATACACTACGTAAGTTAATACATTTGACAATACACTACGTAAGTTAATACACATGACATGTCACAACGTAAGTTAATACACATGAAAGTTGTGTGTCACAGGAAAAGACTGGGGGTCGGACGAGGAGGCACTGGGAAGGGATTCGGGCGACAGGAGCATTTCATCAACTGTGCCGACATCCGGATTGACTCAGCTGACGGCGCACCACCGACTGAAAGTACCACAACACCAGGCACACTACACCAAGTCTTCTGTCAAACACACTACACACACTGTTCTTTCACACACTACACACATTCTTCTGTCACATACACACACATTACACACACTGCTCTGTCAGTAGGCCTACATCAGCCATAGTGATGACAGTTGATACTACAGTGAGTAGGTCTACATTGGCCAGGGAGATGACAGTTGATACTACAGTGAGTAGGCCTACATTAGCCGCGGTGCTGACAGTTGATACTAGAGTGAGAAGGTCTACATTAGCCAGGGTGATGACAGTTGATACTACAGTAAGTAGGCCTACATTAGCCATAGTGATGACAGTTGATACTACAGTGAGTAGGTCTACATTGGCCATGGTGATGACAGTTGATACTACAGTGAGTAGGTCTACATTGGCCATGGTGATGACAGTTGATACTACAGTGAGTAGGTCTACATTGGCCATGGTGATGACAGTTGATACTACAGTGAGTAGGCCTAGATTAGCCGTGGTGATGGCAGTTGATACTACAATGAGTAGGCCTACATTAGCCATAGTTATGACAATTGATACTACAGTGAGTAGGTCTACATTGACCATGGTTATGACAATTGATACTACAGTGAGTAGGCCTACATTAGCCGTGGTGATGGCAGTTGATACTACAATGAGTAGGCCTACATTAGCCATAGTGATGACTGTTGATACTACAGTAATTAGGCCTACATTAGCCATAGTGATGACAGTTGATACTACAGTGAGTAGGTCTACATTGGCCATGGTGATGACAGTTGATACTACAGTGAGTAGGTCTACATTGGCCATGGTGATGACAGTTGATACTACTGGGAGTAGGCCTACATTAGCCGTAGTGATGACAGTTTATACTACTGGGAGTAGGGTTACATTAGCCGTGGTGATGACAGTTTATACTACTGGTAGTAGGGTTACATTAGCCGTAGTGATGACAGTTTATACTACTGGGAGTAGGGTTACATTAGCCGTGGTGATGACAGTTTATACTACTGGGAGTAGGCCTACATTAGCCGTAGTGATGACAGTTTATACTACTAGTAGTAGGGTTACATTAGCCGTAGTGATGACAGTTGATACTACAATGAGTAGGCCTACATTAGCCATAGTGATGACAATTGATACTACAGTGAGTAGGTCTACATTGACCATGGTTATGACAGTTGATACTACAGTGAGTAGGTGTACATTAGCCGTGGTGATGACAGTTGATACTACAGTGAGTAGGTCTACATTAGCCAGGGTGATGACAGTTGATACTACAGTAAGTAGGCCTACATTAGCCATAGTGATGACAATTGATACTACAGTGAGTAGGTCTACATTGGCCATGGTGATGACAGTTGATACTACAGTGAATAGGTCTACATTAGCCGTGGTGATGACAGTTTATACTACTGGGAGTAGGCCTACATTAGCCGTAGTGATAACAGTTTATAGTACTGGGAGTAGGGTTACATTAGCCGTAGTGATGACAGTTGATACTACAGTGGGTAGGTCTACATTAGCCGTAGTGATGACAGTTTATACTACTGGGAGTAGGGTTACATTAGCCGTGGTGATGACAGTTTATACTACTGGGAGTAGGCCTACATTAGCCAGGGTGATGACAGTTTATACTACTGGGAGTAGGGTTACATTAGCCGTGGTGATGACAGTTTATACTACTGGGAGTAGGCCTACATTTGCCGTAGTGATGACAGTTTATACTACTGGGAGTAGGGTTACATTAGCCGTGGTGATGACAGTTTATACTACTGGGAGTAGGTCTACATTAGCCAGGGTGATGACAGTTGATACTACTGGGAGTAGGGTTACATTAGCCGTGGTGATGACAGTTTATACTACTGGGAGTAGGCCTACATTAGCCAGGGTGATGACAGTTTATACTACTGGGAGTAGGGTTACATTAGCCGTGGTGATGACAGTTTATACTACTGGGAGTAGGCCTACATTAGCCGTAGTGATGACAGTTTATACTACTGGGAGTAGGGTTACATTAGCCGTAGTGATGACAGTTGATACTACAGTGGGTAGGTCTACATTAGCCATAGTGATGACTGTTGATACTACAGTAAGTAGGCCTACATTAGCCATAGTGATGACAGATGATACTACAGTGAGTAGGTCTACATTGGCCATGGTGATGACAGTTGATACTACAGTGAGTAGATCTACATTGGCCATGGTGATGACAGTTGATACTACAGTGGGTAGGTCTACATTGGCCATGGTGATGACAGTTGATACTAAAGTGAGTAGGCCTACATTAGCCGTGGTGATGGCAGTTGATACTACAATGAGTAGGCCTACATTAGCCATAGTGATGACAATTGATACTACAGTGAGTAGGTCTACATTGACCATGGTTATGACAGTTGATACTACAGTGAGTAGGTCTACATTGGCCATGGTGATGACAGTTGATACTACAGTGAGTAGGTGTACATTAGCCGTGGTGATGACAGTTGATACTACAATGAGTAGGTCTACATTAGCCAGGGTGATGACAGTTGATACTACTGGGAGTAGGGTTACATTAGCCGTGGTGATGACAGTTTATACTACTGGGAGTAGGCCTACATTAGCCAGGGTGATGACAGTTTATACTACTGGGAGTAGGGTTACATTAGCCGTGGTGATGACAGTTTATACTACTGG